GTCCCTGGGTGGTGCCTCAGGCCCTGCACTATACTCACCCAGTTAAGCTCTTAAACTCTCCGGTGTAGTAAGTGAGTGCTTTAGCTCTGTATACAAACTGCCTAGATTAGAGGTGCCAGATAAAACACAGTGTGTCTTGCCCAAAACCATAAAACTCCTAGAAGAAACATAGGCAGCAAACTCTCTGACATTGCTCTTAGTCATATTTTTGGGGGGTATGTCTCCTCGGGCAAGGGAAACAAAAGAAAATATAAACAAATGGGACTACATCAAACCAAAAAGTTTTCACAGCAAAGGAAGCCATCAACGAAATGAAAAGACAACCTACTGAATGGGAGAAGATATTCATCCATGATACACCTGATAAGGTGTTAATATCCAAAATGTATAAATAATTCATGCAACTTAACACCAAAAAAGCCAAACAACCCAATTAAAAAATGGGCAGAGGACCTGAATAGACATTTCTCCAAAAAGGACATACAGATGGCCAATAGACATATGAAAAGATGCTCAACGTCACTAATCATCAGAGAAATGCAAATTAAAACCACAGTGAGATACCACCTCACACCTGTCAGATTGGCTATCACCAATAAATCAACATATAACAAATGTTGGTGAGGATGTGGAGAAAAAGGAGCCTTCATGCACTGTTGGTGGGACTGCAAACTGGTGCAGCCACTATGAAAAACAGTATGGAGGTTCCTCAAAACATTAAAAATTGTGCTATCTTATGACCCAGTAATTCCACTCCTGGGTATTTATACAAAGAAACCCAAAATACTAATTCAAGAATACATATGTTCCTTGCAGCATTATATACAATAGCCAAGATATGAAAGTAACCTAAATGCCTATCAATAGACGATTGGATGAAGAAGTGGCACATATATATATATAATGGAATATTACTCAGCCATAAAAAAGAATGAAATCTTACCATTTGTGACAACATGGATGGAGCTAGAGGATATTATGCTAAGTGAAATAAGTCAGACAGAGAAAGACAATTACCATATGATTTCTCGTATATGCTTATGTGTGGAATCTAAAGAACAAAATAAATGAACAAACAAAACAGAAACAGACTCATAGATACAGAGAGCAAACTGGGACATTGCCACATTGGGAAGGGTTGGGGGACTGGGTGAAAAGGGTGAAGGGATTAAGAAGTACAAATTGGTAGTTACAAAATAGTCACGGGGATGTAAAGTACAGCACAGGGAATATAATCAATAATATTGCAGTAACTATGTATAGTGTCAGGCGGGTACTAGATTTATCGGGGGGAATCACTTCATACATTATATAAATATCTAACCACTATGCTGTACACCTGAAACATATAAAATCATATTGAATATCAACTGTAATTGAAAAACAAAAATTAAAAAAATTGAATTACACTAGTACCAAAACCTGACAAACACGTTATAAGAGAAGAAAACTACAGACCAGTATTCCTCATGAACGTAGAAACAAAGCTCAAAATATTATTAACAATAGCAAATTAAATCCAGCAATACCTAAAAAAAATTAACATCACAACCACATGGGATTCATACCACAAATACAAGACGGATTCCACATTCAAATATCAGTATAATTCACCATATTGACAGACTAAAGCAATAAAACCATGTCCTCTCAATAGGTGCAGAAAAGCATGTCACAAAATTCAATATTCACTAATGCTAAAAACTACTCAGAGATATAAAAGAACAAACTATTGATTCATATTAAAACATAAATAAATCTTAAGTGCGTTTTGCTAACTGTAAGAAGCCAGACCCATATTGTATGACTCTATTTCTATGACATTCTGAAAAAGGCGAACTATCGGAAAGAAAACCAGATTCTTGGTTGCCAGAAATGGGAGATGAGGAAAGGCTCTGACTACAAAGAAGCAGCTCAGGAAAGTTTGGGGGCTGATGGAACTGTGTTGTGTGGTTCTAGGGTGCTGGCTACAGGTCTACGCGGTCTGACAATTAAGTTCGCGAACTTGTTGCTGCGCTGGTGCTAACCTTTTTTGATATCAGAGGGGTTATTCATTATGAATTTGTACCAACTGGACAAACAGTTAACCAAGTTGACTATTTGGAAGTGCTGAAAAGGCTGCGTGAAAAAGTTAGACGACCTGAACTTTTCACCAACAATTCATGGCTCTTGCATCACGACAATGCACCAGCTCACACGGCACAGTCTGTGAGGGAGTTTTTAGCCAGTAAACAAATAACTGTATTGGAAAACCCTCCCTACTCACCTGATCTGGCCCCCAGTGACTTCTTTCTTTACTTGAAGATAAAAGAAATATTGAAAGGAAGACATTTTGATGACATTCAGGACATTAAAGCTAATACGAGACAGCTCTGATAGCCATTCCAGAAAAAGAGTTCCCAAATTGCTTTGAAGGGCGGACTAGGCGCTGGCATTGGTGCATAGCTTCCCAAGGGGAGTACTTCGAAGGTGACCGTAGTGATATTCAGCAATGAGCTGTGTAGCACTTTTTCTAGGATTAGCTCGCGAACTTGTCAGACCTTGTATGTATTCGCAAAAGCCCACAGAATTGTACAACAAAACAAGTACATTTTATTACATGTAGATTTTTTTTAAATCAACCAGGATTATGGTAGATGGAATATAGACCACAACAATGAATCTAACTATTACAAATGGATAACATAAGCATACTGAAAGGGATTTAGAATGAAGGAGCTGATCTAAATTTTTAAAAACTACAGTGTGTCTTGTATCTTTATTTGCTAGATCTGGCAACCCTAACCTGAGTTCTAATATGGGCCTCTGCTTATAGGCAGTGTTACTATGGCCAAATTCTTCTTTCTCTCTTTCTCTCTGTCTCCTTCCTCTCACCTTCCCTCCTTTCTCCCTCCCTTCCTTTCTTCCTTCTTTCCTTCCCCTTTCTTCCTCCCTCTCCTTATCTTGTTCTTTCTAATCGTATCAAATACATTAATCTTAATCTGGAACGTGTGCTTGGTGAATTTTTACCTATGCACACACTCCTGTAAACGCCGCCCAGCTAAACTGGCAAGTTTCCAGCACCCCAACAAACCTCCTTGTGCCCCTTCCCCGTCAGTGCCTCCCCCAGAGCTAATCACTTCCCACATCCTCTATCACCATGGATAGTTTTAGCCTTTTTTTGAATTTCATATATATGGAATCGTGCAGTATGGGCTCTTTTTTTTTTTAAGATTTTTATTGGGGAATTAGGGGAAGGGGAACTGACAAGTTGCTGTCCTTTTGTTCTTCAGTTTAGTTGTGGAGGACGTTGCTTCACTGGCCCAAGTTGGCACCATCATTGCGCTCTTCCCGGGTGAGGCAGATCAGTCGCCAGCTTCT